CGGCAAAATTAGGACATGGGAAAAGGTCTCAGTCTGTCTCTCTTTGACTAAATGGTCTCCGTTTGAAAATGTATTTATGAGCGAAGATGTATTATTCTCAATTAGGCTCAAAGGATAATTATTTTACTGGAATATATTTGTCAGCCGTACCAATTCTTAAGTCTAATGTTTGCTATCCGCTAGCTTCGTACTTCTAAGAATCATTTACTTCAAAATTCCATTCTTAGTCTTGTAACTATGGTTGGAAATAAAATTAAGCAGATCCAATATATGTTGGCTTTCTATAAGCATCTCTTCCTAACTTACCCTCTTCTCTAATGATGAGAATACCTAGAAATGGTAAGGACTTACTCTCTTCCATTTCCAATGTAAACCTAATTTTATTATCACACTGGTTGAGTGAATGTAGGAAACTATTTAATCTGTCCATACCAATAGACCGGATGACAAAATAGTCATCCATGTATCTAACCAACAATTTGGGGGTTAGTATTGTCTCTTCCAGGAAGTGTTTTTCGTCAAGATGGGAGCCAGGCAAGCTCTCATCGCTAGTCCTTGTGTTTATTCGTATAACTTACCATCGAGGGTAAAATATGTGTTACTCATGGATAGGTTAATAAGTCTATTTATTGAAACTACACTCAAACTTCGTCCTTGTCTTATATATGGATGCGCCTCCAGAGTATGTACTAGAGCCTGAATAGCTCCTTGAACATGAATGTTTGTATACACAGACACAACATCAAAACTTACTAGCCTATCCTGTGAAAGTGTCTGCTGATCAATGAATTTCACAAAATCCTAAGAATTGTTAACTTAATATAGCCAAAAATGGGCACTTTTTCTTAGTTGTATACATAAAAAACGTGAGATGTTATGCATGCCGCTCCTTTCATTATTTACAATTAATCTTAGATCGACATCCTCCTTGTGAATTTTAGGGAGACTGTAAGCCATAGAGGCTCTTGCATCTCTCTGAATTAGTGAATTCATTTTCCACCTCTTCATTTCACCATTACTTACGCAATCCTTAAGGGTGTCTTTATTTTGGATCTCTCAATTAAGTCATATATGTGTCAGGGTCATTTAAATGAACTAGCATTTTTTCTACATAACTTGACCTATCCATGACTACCACAGCTTTCATAACGATTAGATTATTAGCATACAGACATCTAGAAACCCTACTAGCGGGACACGTTTTTTTTGGTGGAATTATATGGTCGAAATGAGGGACCACCTCCAGCTCAATATTATGCCTTACCTCCTCGGGGAATCTATCAGATGCGCTAATTAATTCAACAATTAATTCAACAATGTCCGGCCCGTTTCCATCTGAAACAAGGGACGAGGTCTCGTGGACCGTGTCAACCTAAACCTCGTATAAAAGCCAATAGGCTGACATCGACGTACGAATCTCTTCTTCATGCACTTTCCTGCGAAATGAAAGTCCCTCCAACAGGATAAAGAGATCTGGAATAGGTTTGCTGGACTGGATATGTCAACCTGAGAGAGACGCCAGTGATGAGAGGCTGCAGACACGACGTTGATTTAGACCAAGTCCTGCTGCAAAGCTGCTTTGCTTCTGAGGAGTAAGTTTAGCCCTGCAGATGCGGACTCATTTGGCGACCTTGCTTTGGACATGGACTATACATTACTGCAGACATCCTTAAGAGGTTTTTACAATCGACTTATGCCATCGCAGATGCTGAGGTTAAGGGGAAAGCACGAGTGATATTTATGAGAGGGGCTGTATCAGTCAGAAGTAAGATGTTGTCACCCGGTGGTGTCATAAAGAAGTCCCTACAAATGAGAATTCGTTTTGCCTAACATTTTGCATGATAGGAGCATCGGCTTCTGTTTGGTGCCAAAATATTCAATCGTTGTAGCGTGAACGATGACAATATTGTAGG